AGAAGAAGAAGAAGAAGAAGAAGAGAAGAAGAAGAAGAAGAAGAAGAAGAAGAAGAAGAAGAAGAAGAAGAAGAAGAAGAAGAAGAAGAAGAAGAAGAAGAAGAAGAAGAAGAAGAAGAAGAAGAAGAGGAGGAGGAGGAGGAGGAGGAGGAGGAGGAGGAGGGGAGACGCGACACCAACACCACCAGGGGGGCCACCTCAAGCAAGGTCCACGATTCAGGACTCGTTTCGTTTCGATTCGATGGATTCGATTCGATTCGATTCCGATCCGATTCGGTGCAGATCCTCTGATTCGATTCGATTCGATTCCGATTCCGATTCCGATTCGATTCGATTTGGGATTCCGATATGGGATACCGTTTTTTTCATGGAGGCCCACTAGCCTGCCGATTTCCACCGATTCGACTTCTCCCGTCTCGGCTGCTGATTTCCCTCGATACGATTCATTTTGTCGATCCGACATATCGGTTCGATTCTGCGCTCTCCTGCACCTCAAGCGAGGAGGTCCACGATGCCTTCCCGAGCTGGAGATTGGGGATGTCTCGAGCGAGAAGGGGGGGGGGGTCACACCGCCAGGGAGACCTCCCTTGCCTCCTCACATCTCCTCGCCCTGGTTGGGTTGGTGTCGCCTTTCCTTCTTAGTGCAGCGGCGACCTGCGCGCCGGGTCCTGTCTCCGCGCGGGTCGCTCAGCGAGCGATTGCGAGTGACCCAACTTTGGTCCCCGGTGTTGAGGTGTACCCCTGTGACCATGTGGGTGGTGTCGTTTGATACCTCAGCAGATGAGAACCCCCCTACCCCTCGCGTGTCTGGCCCTTCTGACTCAGGCCCCCTCTCAGAAGGTTGGGGCTACTTCTCTACTGCTCATCAGCTCTTCCTCGGCCGAGGGCGGCTCGAAGGTTTTCGGACGTTTCGGAGGCTTTCGGGGGGTCTCGGGACCCGAGAGCGGGGGAATAGGTGGGCCCTTTTTTGGGGCTCGCGGCTCATCATTATCGTCATCAGTCGCGTAACAATCATCATCGTCATGTGCACCATCCTCATGAGCAGCACCATCATGATCATAAGCATCATCCTTTGTCCTGGACAACAGCAGGAGGGGAGGAGGAGGAGGAGGAGGAGGAGCAAGATGAGGAGGAGGAGGAGGAGCATCAGCTGCGCCCCGTCGAGGACGTTCTTGGGATGCCTGCATCTTCCCGAGCGGCCGCTGGAGGTCGGAGCTGTACTGCCCAGAGGCCAGCCCGAACCCAGACGACACAGAGGAGGAAGAGGTGCCGATCCCGCTACTCTTACGTCGGGCGTCTCCCTCTACAGGAGAAACATTCAAAATAATTAAAAACATAGGATGGGGACGATGTTTGGTTTTTTGTTTTACATATTGGGGATGTATGTTCTGATTTGTTCGTCCAAATTCCGCTTGTAGGGGGACATGCCCGACCTAAGGCTACTCTTGCCTCGCGTTAATTGTTTGGGGCATCGGCGCCTCTTTGGTCCCCCCAGAGCGACCGCGGGCTTTTGCGCCGCCCGCGCTCGCTCGCGGCCCGGAGGGATCCTTTGAGGGTCCCGGGTCTGAGCTGCTTTTTCCGCCGCCGCCGCCTGGTTGGGGAACGAAAGGGTAGGGTAGTGAAGGGTAGGGTGGAGAATCGGCTCACGTAGCCGGTGCTCCCGGCGCCGGGAGGCGCCCGTCGTGCGTGTGCATCGGGGCGGGAACCGGCTGCATGCAGCCGATGTCGTGCCCCCCCCCTTTCAGCGAGAGTAAACGAACCCCTAACCCGAATATCACAGTGGAGACGTGGCCACACTGAGGTCCCCGTCTTTGCAGTGGGGATGATGCTTCTCTGGGCGGCTTGGTCCGATGCACCTGCTGAGGACGGGGCCCCCGTCCCTGGTGTTCCTGCCCCTCCAGGCGTAGGTCCCCTCCGCCCCGTTTTTCAGAGCCCCGAATCATCAGGGGTAACTCGGGTCAGGGATAACTCGGGTTCGTTTTTCGGGAATCCAAACCCGAGTTATCCCGGACCCGAGTTACCCCGGATATTTCGGGCGTCCAGGGCCCCGAATCATCAGGGGTAACTCGGGTCAGGGATAACTCGGGTTCCTTTTTCGGGAACCCAAACCCGAGTTACCCCGGACCCGAGTTACCCCGGATAACTCGGGCGTCCAAGTTTTTGGTCAAGCACCCCTTGCCCAGTCCTGCCCTTTCTTCCGGCCCGAGCCCCCCCCCCATCAGTCTTGAGTCGGGCCTGTCCCTCTACAGGGGGGGGGAATATCCAAAAGTAGTTAGAACATAGTCTGGGGACTATTTTTGGAGTATGTTTTTGGGCATTTGGGAGTTTTTGTTTTCTTTTTGTATTTTTCTTCTTCGTCGAAAATCCCACTGTAGGGGGACACGCCCGACTTAACTCAGGAGGGGAAAAAACACACAGACACAATCAGTCGTCGATTCCCAGAAAACATGGGAAAATGTGGGAAGTGTGGGGGTGAAGACACAAGCCCCCCAAAAAATATGGGGAAACTATGGGGAATATGTTTATTTGTGTGTATTTATTTGTGTGTCCCAGGGCCCCTTCAATTTGGGAGTATTTGCACTCCGGATCTCATAACAATAGGGGGGGGGGTCTGCTTCTGGGGGGGGGGGTCTCACGGGCCTCGTCAAACACATTTGTGGGGTGGTCTCGATTTTGGACCTTCTGTTGCTGTCTTTGGGGGGGGGGGTCCCGGACCGGCCGTCGAACACTTTTTTGACCCGCCCCCCCCCCACTATTATGAGATTTGGAGTATTTGTCAGTCTTCGTCGAAACTCCCCCTGCAGGGGGACACGCCCGACTGAAACCATCACTTAACCCACGGCCGGGCGCGCCCCGACGCGCGGGCGCCGCCGGGGTGCCGCGCGCCCAGACGCACCGCGCGCGCCCCCCCCGTGCACGCGGCGGCGTGCCGAAGCCGCCCGCCCGCGCCGGCGGGGGCCGCCGCCGCGGCTCGGCGCGGCGCGGACCGGACTCGGGTTCAGTCGGGCCTGTCCCCTACAGGGGGATCTTCGACGAAAAATTAAAAGTACGCCGAAAATATGCCCGACTTAAACTCAGGAGGGGGAACAACACTCAGACACAATCAATCGTCGATTTCCCAGAAAATATGAGAAATATGGGAAGTGAGGGGGAAGACAAACGCCCCCCAATATATATATATATATATATTATTATATACATATATATATATATGGATAAATATGGGGGATCATTTTATTTGTGTGTATTTATCTGTGTGTCCTGGGGCCCCTTCCATTTGCGAGTATTTTTGGGGGTATCTTCTATTCTTCGTCGAAACTCCCCCTGCAGGGGGACACGCCCGACTGAAACCATCACTTAACCCACGGCCGGGGGCGCCCCGACGCGCGGGCGCCGCCGGGGGGCCGCGCGCGCCCAGACGCACGCGCGCGCGCCCCGCCGTGCACGCGGCGGCGTGCAGCCGCCGCCCGCCCGCCACCGGCGGGCCGCCGCCGCGGCTCGGCGCGGCGCGGTTAAGTCGGGCCTGTCCCCCTGCAGGGGGAGTTTCGATGAAACATTGAAGGCACGCCACAAATAACCAACGAGTAATGCAAAAATATTCTGGGGATGATTTTTGGAGCATTTTTGACCATTTGGGAGTGGCGTCCTGGCGTGCCTGTAGCCCTACCAAGCAATGTCGCCGATCGCCCGCGCCGGCGGGGACGCCGCCGCGGCTCTGCGCGGCGCGGACCTGACTCGGGGGCGGCGTCGCGGGGGGGGGATTCGGAGAAGGAGAGTCGGGCCGGACGAAACGGGGGGGATTGGGAAAGGGGGGGGGAACGACATTTGCTGCATGCAGCTGGTTTCGGCCCCACCGAAGGGCCCATTCCTCGATACATAGCCGCCTCCGGCCCCGGGAGGCGCCGGGAAAATCAGCTACGCGAGCTGAGTCTCAAACCCCCCCTTTGCTATCCCCCCGCCGCCGCCGCCGCGACTCGGCGCGGCGCGGACCGGACTCTCAAGCAGCGGCGAATTGTCCTGGCGTGCTTATAGCCCTACCAAGCAGTGTTCTAAGAAATTGTTGTGGTTCCCACGAAACGAACACTGCTTCTGTTCTTTCTGTTCTTAGAACATTTTTGGGCTCTAAGAACATCTAGTGGTAGGGCTATAGGAGTGAAGGGAGGGTTGGTCCCTGCTCAAGACTCGGGGGCGGCGTCGCGGGGGGGGGGGGATTCGGAGAAGGAGAGGGAGGCACCTGTCATGAGGCTCATTCTCCTTCCCGCGGTTGTGCCCTTCTCGGGCCGCCTGGGCGGCCCTCGTCGCCACCGCTGGCTCCGCCTCGAGGCTCACCGGCTCCCAAGTCGCCCGTTCCTCGCCGACATGCGCCCGACGTCGCTCTCCCCGCCCAGGAGCGTGCGGCTTCCCCCGCCAGGGGCCTGTCGCCGATCTGTCGGCGATGTCTCGTCGATACCGAGTCGGGGTTTCCCGCCCGAGCTGCCCCCATCAGGTGTCATTCCCTCTCAACGCTTTGTGCCAGCAAAGGTTCTGAGGGCCCCTCTCCTCCGACGTTTCAGTTGGCGATCGTGTTGTGGCGTCGGCCCCCGGGCATCTCGACCACTTCCCCAGAGCCAGTCCTTCATCCCGAGTCGTTTCTTGACGGTCCCGTTGCACAGCGAGGGCCCCCAGAGGTCAAGAACGACGAGATCTTCTTCTCTGCTTATTCTCGAGACGCCCCCCCGAGCCTGCCCCCCTACCCTCGTTCCCCCTCGCTATCCTTGAGTTTGGGCCTGTCCCTCCCTCTACAGAAGGAGTATTCAAAGATAGTGAAACAGTAGTCTGGAGACGATGTTCGATTATCATTTTTCAATGTTTGTTTTTTTTATTATGTTTTTGTTGGGTATGTTGTATTGTTCGTTCCAATCCGCATGTAGGGGGATACGCCCGACCAGACGCTATCCCCTCGCTCGCCGCCGCCTCGCGCGTGACCGCTCGTCGTGGCCGTCGCCGCCTCCCGCCGCCGCAGACGGACGCCGCGCCGAAGTGGCTGGAGGCGCCGGCGTCCGTGAAGCTGGCGGCCAGCGTGCTCTTCCACATCCCCACGGACGGGGGGTCCCCTCCACCCTGGGGAAGTCTAAGCCTCCTAGATGGGGTCGGAGTAGATGGGGTCGGAGGATCGCGCCGCATCGCCGATGCATCGGTGATGCATCGTCGATGCGGAGCTCGCTGTTCTCCGCGCCGACGTCGGCGACGCATCGGCGACGTCGGCGATGCATCGACGATGCATCGTCGATGCATCGTCGATGCGGCGCGATCCTCCGACCCCATCTACTCCGACCCCATCTAGGAGGTCTCTAGGAAGGGAGACGCGCCCTCAGCATCGTTAGGGGGCCACATGCGAGCCCTACCCCTACCCCCCACGATTTTTATGCGGGGGAGGATGGGGTTCAGTTCGTTCGGGAGCTCCTGAGCGAAGGGAACCCCAACCCCTCCCCCTCAGAAGCCTTGGGGGTAGGGGTAGGGCTCGCATGTGGCCCCCTGATCGTCTGACCTGACTTGGGGCATGTCCCCCTACAGGCGGATCTTGGACGAAACATGAGACATGGTCAAACATACGACAAACAGATCGTCAGCAAAGGCAAACATAGGTCGGGCATGCTCAACACATGTTCAAACATACAAAAAACGTCCCCAGACTGTTTTTGTTGCTAGTTTTGGATTTTTGTCCTGTAGGGGCCATGCCCGTCGTAAGTCTGTCTAACCCTTGCCTCGCCTCGGCGGCGATGTCCGAACCCTGCCCCCGCCGATCAACGATTCAGGCAGCTCGGTGGGCGGCGGGGTTAGGGTTAAGTCGGGCGTGTCGAAGAATATCAGAAATAGCCAAAACATAATATCGGGACGATGTTTTATGACTATGTTTGAATACGTGTGGCACATGCTTGACTATTATGTGCATATTTGTCGCCTCAGATGCGCCTGTTGGGGGACACGCCCGACCTGAGGTGAGGGTCTCAAATTCGTCGGGCACGTGGCCACACCCGAGCCCTGCCCCCGCCTCCCGTCGATTCTGGGGAATCGATGGCGGGGGGGGGGGGGGGGTGGTGCTCGAGCGTCGCCGCCCATCGTCGTCGCCGCCTCGCGGGGCCTTCCCGGAGGCCCCCGGCGCCACGCCTCGGGATTGATCTCGGAAGTATGGTCGGAACGCACCCGGCAGAGGGCTCAGGGGAGTGGCGTCGCCGTGAGTGCTTGTTTTTTTCCCAGGGGCTCAGCATCCCCCAACCTATGAGCCATCCAGGGCTGGACCTAAACGGCGTTTTGGCGATTTCGCGGGCCGTTTTCGTTCCGTTTCGACTTCGTTTTGCGGCAGAGTTGGATGACAGACAAAACGAGGGACAACGAAAACAGAACGAAAACGAAGAACACCGTCTAGGTTCAGCCCTGCCGCAATCCCCGTTGGGACATGGCATTGCAGTCCCACCAGTCCAACCTCCCAGGTGGGGATATCGGCCCCGCGGAGTCCGAAGAGCCACGCGCGTGCCCCCACACAAGGTGGGCACGCCGGAGGCCACGCCAGCGGGTGTGGGGATCGATCCAACGGTGCCGGGCCTGGACCCAAAGAATGCATCGCAAGGGCATGCGGCAGGTGTGATTGCCCCTCCGCACCTGGCCCACCCCTCCGAGGAGGAGGGCCAGGCTCTGGGTGGGGATGCCCGTGTCACTCCCCTTGCCTATCACCTCCCCCGTCCTCTTTCTCCTGCCCCCTCGGATCGAGCGCTCGAGGGCTGTGGTCGCATCGTTTGCGGCATGTGTTCTGTTCCCCGGTCTGGGCCTCCTGGGGGAGTCTCCGCGTGTCCACGGCTGGATTTCCTTCGAAATCCTGGCCAGCAGTCACCAGTGGCATGTTTGGGAGGTCCTCCTCCTCCTCCTCCTCCTCCACATCCCCACTGAGGGGAGCTCCCTTCCACCACCATCACCACCACCACCTCCTCATCTTGTTCTGGAGCAACGAGAGACGACGCAAGCACAGCCTCTCAGTGGTCCGCGCGGGTTGCTTGGCTGGCCGCTGCCTCGTGAGGTTGGCGGGGACCAGAGAACGGCGAGTTGTCCGAGTTCTGTTTACGTCTCGTCGCTGTTTGGGAGCCGTGCCGCGGTGGAATCCCCGCTCTCTCCGTCTCGTGGTTCCCCCTGTGCTCGAGGCTCGACGAAGCTCAGTGCTATCGTTCTGGGGATCTCTGCACCTGTTTGGGCCTCCAGTGATGGGCATGTTTTCCACCACCACCACCATAAGGTGGAGGGGGGGAGGAGGAGGTGGAGGAGGAGGAGGATAAGGGAGGAGGAGACGGAGGAGGAGGAGGAGGAGGAGGAGGAGGAGGAGGAGGAGGAGGAGGAGGAGGAGGAGGAGGAGGAGGAGGAGGCAGGAGGATGATGTGAGACCAACAAAGAACTGCACAGACACACAGACGTAAACGGGTGCTCTTGGGTCGGCGCCAGACCGCCATGGCGCCGCCACTGGCGCGCTCCGCGCGCCAGGGGAGGGAGATTCCAGCACCAACCCAAGACATGCGTCGCTACCCTGCTGCCCCAGATGAGGGGGAAGAGGGGGAGGGGGAGGTGGAGAGGACCCCCCTCGGCGGGGCTGAGGAGGAGGAGGAGGCTTCATCTGCACCATCATAGCTCTGACCTCTGCCCCCGCGCCTGCAACGGGATGCGTGCTGGAGGAGGAGGAGGAGGAAGAGGAGGAGGAGGAGGGGGAGGAGGAGGAAGAAGAGGGGGAGGAGAAGGAGGAGGAGGAGGAGGAGGAATAATACTTTCCAGAACAACGCATACTACTAATACGAATGAAGAAGAAGAGGAGGAGGAGGAGGAGGGAGAGGGGGAGGGGAGGGGGGGCGTCGGGGTCTGAATTCCTTCTTTTGGTTTCCGTAATTCTTCACAAATCATTTAAACTACATATATATATATACACATCTACACATGGATATGGTTTCCTGGATCCGATTCTCTGGATGTGATCTGTCGGACCTGAATGTCTGGATCTGGTTCTCCGGCTGTGATTTAAATTGATCTGATTCTGGATCTGGATCAGTGTACCGTCATCCAGATCAGATTCTTTGCATCTGTTCTGAAGCAAAGTTGGGTATCTGATCTCATGCTCTGGATCTGTTTCCCTGGATCTGATTTTCATTATGAGTAGATTGGTCGTCCTATTATCATTATTATTCATATGCCTAATTCTCAAGCCGATCAATCTTATCATTATTAGGTATGGTGATTATTCTGATTCGCAGTCGCTTTCTCAGTCTTATTCTTCCTAGTCGTAGTCTGTTTAGTAGTAGTGTCAGTACTCTTGCTACTTTTGATCGTAATTCGCATTATTAGTCTAATTCTTATTCGTATCATTCGTACTCTTGTTATTGGTATTATGTTGTGTTTATTCGACAGTTTCATTCGTATGTATCTGTGTTGTCAGTCTTATTGCTCTTATGAGTATCATGTTTTTTTTTATTCGTGGCGTTATCAGTTTCAGTCGTATTCATATTCATAGCTTTATTTTTATTATTATTATTATTATTATTAGTATTGTCATCATTGTTATTATTATTATTATTATTGTTATTATTATTATTATTTATCATTATCATTATCATTATCATTATCATTATCATCAGTTTCATGCTCATGATCATGGTCTTAGCTTGTTCATTATTTCTATAGTTGTATTGCACTGTTTCTTTAATGTGTTTGTGTTTTCTGAGTAGTTTCTCATTCGTGTTTCTTTATTGTTATTGTTAGTATTAAAATTCGTGTTCTTAGTCGTACTCGTATTCTTAGTCTTACTCTTCGGATTAATAGAGGAGGAGGAAGAGGTGGAGGAGGAGGAGGAGGAGGAGGTGGAGGAGGAGGAGGAAGAGGTGGAGGAGGAGGAGGAGGAGGAGGGGGAGGAGGGGGAGGAAGAGGAGCAGGAGGAGGACGAAGAGGAGGAGGAGGAGGAGGAGGAGGAGAAGGAGGAGGAGGAGGAGGAGGAGAAGGAAGAAGAGGAGGAGGAGGAGGAGGGAGAAGGGGAGGAGGATTTGCAGGAGCAAGATGAGGAGCAAGAGGAGCAGGAGGAGCAGGAGGAGAAGGAAAAGGAGGAGGAGGAGGAGGGGAAGGACGATGATGAGGATCAGGGGAAGGACGAGGAGGAGGAGAAGAAGGAGGAAGAGGAGGAGGAAGAGGAGGGGGGGGGATGATGTTGGTGGTGATGATCGATTCTTCCAGATTCTTCCAGATTCCTTCCGGATTGTTCCAGATTCTTCCAGAATCTTCCGAATTCTCCCGGACGCCACCAGGTTGTCGCAGATTTGCGCGGATCGTCCGACAAGCGCCCAAGCGTCAAGCGCCGGCAAGATCTTAATGACCAACGCGTTACCGGTGGGTGGATTGGTGCGGTATTTGTTAGAACATCGGTGTTGACGGCGAGCATTGGAGGTGGTCGGGCGCGAGATGGCCAACGCATAATCGCATCATACGGATTGATTGCACTACGCAGCTTGCACCACGTAGGCAGCATCTCGTTGGTTCCACGATCTGGCTCTCACCAGCCACATCGTTAGCACCGCATTGGCGGTGCCACAAATATCCCTTCCCCCCGAGAGAAACATGCGGTGACCCTCTAGTCGCGCTCCTCCGTAGCATGTTTCTGTGAGTGGACAGACACCCCGTAGGGTCTCCGTGAATGCTTGCGTTGTTATCCTCGATTTCCTGGTCATGGGGGACATGCGCCCAAGAGGACCTGCGGAGCACCGAATCCTACCGGCAACAGAAGACCCTATGCAGTATAGCATCTTTTCCACCCAGAAACCATGCCCACGCATATCGTCTCAGAGCTCTCTCTGGTGCCTCGCATTGTCGGGCATCGGCAACGCTGCAAGGGCAGGGGTGTTGCGGTCCCACCAGTGCTTCCAACACTTGTCCCGAGCACACCCCACAGCCTCCAAGTCCAAAGGCCCCATTTCGTCCGGCCAGGTCCTCCTCGTCCTCCCCATCCCCATCCCCTCCCGCTCCTCCCCCCTCCCCGTCGTCACACCCGATCCTCCTCTCCCTCCCACCCCCCCGCCCTTGCGTCCCCGACCCAGTCCTCTCCTCCCCCCCCCTTCCCCGCCCTTCGACGACGCGGAGGAACTTGCAGTTCCCAGCGAGTTTGAGCTGATTGTGCGACAACCCTCCTCCTCCTCCACCTCTTCCCCCTCCTTCCCCATCGTTCCTCCTCCCTACTCCCTCTTCGCCTTCCCTCCCTCCCCATTGGAGGGCTCTAAGCTGCGCGGCAGCGAGCCGAAAGACGCGTACCACACGTCGATCATAGTGGATGATGTAGAGTACCTGTTCGACGACGCAGGAGGGAAGCAGGAGGAGGGCGAGGACAGGACGTGGAGCCGTGGGAGGGGGCGGCGGACCGCGAGTGGTAGGGGGCGGGCTGGGTTCGTTTCTACAGACCCCCAGTGGAAAGGGCATTTTCGATCATGGTGGTGATGATGGTGATTCTACTGGTGGTGATGATTGCGATGGTGACGGTGATGGTGGTAATGATGGTGAGGATTAGTATATGATGATGAAGAGGAGAAGGACGAGGAAGATGACGATGACAACGATGACGATGGTCTTGATGTTGTCGATGATGAGGGCGGGGACGAGGATAAACATGCGAATGATAATGATGCTGATGACGGAGATGTTGATAGCGACGATGACGATGATGATCGGCGTGATGATGATGTTGTTGATCATGATGATAGTGGTGAGATTTGCAATGATGGTGTCGACGAGTGTGGTGCTAATGATGATGCTGATGATGATGATGATGATGCTGATATTGTTGATGATGATGATGATGTTGAGGAGTATGCTGATGCTGGCGTTCATGCTAATGAGGCTGCTGATGCTGCTGATGATAAGGCTGATGACTTTGATGATGGCTAATGTGATGGTACACTGATGGTGATGCTCATGATGATGACGATGATGACGATGATGGTGATGCTGCTGCTGCTGCTGATGACGATGACGATGACGATGACGATGATGATGATGATGATGATGATGATGATGATGATGATGATGATGATGATGATGATGATGATGATGATGATGATGACGATGCTGATTGTGCTGCTGATTATGCTGCTGTTGCTGATGTTTCTTTTGATAATGGTTCGGATACGGACGATGCTGGTGTGGATGCTGTTTGTGATGTTGATGATATTGATGATACGGCTACTGGCCTCCGGCCAGTGCCGCCGATCCGGGGCGCTCCCGATGCTGATGGGAATGATCGACCGTGCATGTTGCAGATGCAGCTCTCGTTCGAGACATGCTGCTAAGATGAACCTGTGGAAATCGGTTACGAAACACTCCCCCCCCGCTCCCTGCAGAGCGCTCAAGTCCACGGCTCCCGAGCACTGAATGGCGTCGGGAATGGCGATCCCCCCTTCCTTGCAGAGCGAACTCTCCCTCTGGCTGCCGAGCACTGACTGGCGTCGGGAATGGCGTCCCCCCCCCCCTTTTGCAGAGCGACTCCCCCCCCCGACCTCCCGAGCACTGAATGGCGTCGGGAATGGCGTCCCCGCCCCCTTGCAGAGCAAGCTCCCCCCCGACCTCCCGAGCACTGAATGGCGTCGGGAATGGCCTCCCCCCCCCCCTTGCAGAGCGAACTCCCCCCCGACCTCCCGAGCACTGAATGGCGTCGGAATGGCCCCCCCCCCCCCCCCTGCAGAGCGAACTCCCCCCCCGGCTCCCGAGCACACTGCATGGCGTCGGGAATGGCGTCCCCCCCTCTTCCCCTTGCAGAGCGAATGGCGTCGGGAATGGCGTCCCCCCCCCTCCTGCAGAGCGACCCCTCCCCCTCCCCAGCTCCCGAGCTCTGAATGGCGTCGGGAATGGTGTCTCCCCCCCCCTCCGTGCAGAGCGAACTCCCCCCGGGACTCCCCCCCGGCTCCCGAGCACTGAAGGGCGTCGGGAATGGCGCCCCTCCTCCCCCCCTGCAGAGCGAACTCCCCGCTCCCGAGCACTGAATGGGGTCGGGAAAGGCTTCCCCCCCCCCCCCCACCTGCAGAGCGACCCCCCCACTGGCTCCCGAGCACTGAATGGCGTCGGGAAAGGCGTCCCCCCACCTTCCCCTGGCATAGCGAACCACACCCGGGCTCCCGAGCACTGAAGGGCGTCGGGAATGGCGCCCCCCCTCCCCCCCTGCAGAGCGAACTCCCTTCCCAGCTCCCGAGCACTGAATGGAGTCGGGAAAGGCGTTCCCCCCCCCCCCCCCCCCCCAACCACTGCAGAGCGACCCCCCCCCCGGCTCCCGAGCATTGATTGGCGTCGGGAAAGGCGTCCCCCCACCCTCCCCCTGCAGAGCGAACGCAACCCCGGGCTCCCGAAGCACTGCATGGCGTCGGAATGGCGTCGGGAATGGCGTTTCCCCTGCAGAGCGACCCCCCCCCCAGCTCCCGAGCTCTGAATGGCGTGGGGAATGGCGCCCGCCCCCCTCCCCATTACAGAGCGACCCCCCCCGGCTTTCGAGCACTGAATGGCGTCAGGAATGGCGCCCCCACCTTTGCAGAGCGAAGCTTGAGCGAGCTCAAGTTCACGCTCTCAGAAACTCACGCGTCAGATCGGCGGATTATGATGGCGACGAGGATTGTGATGCAGATGCCGATGACGATGGCGATGACAATGACGACGATGATGATGCTCATGATGATGCTCATGATGATAATAATGATGATGATGATGCTGATGATGCTGATGATGCTGATGATGTTGATGCTCATACTGATGCTGATGATGCTGCTGATGATGATGATCATGATGCTGATGATGCTGATGATGCTGCTGATGATGATGACGCTGATGATGATGATGATACTGAAGATGATGATGATGATGATGATGATGATGATGATGATGATGATGATGATGATGATGATGATGATGATGATGCTGATGCTGATGCTGATGCTGATGATGCTGATGATGATGATGATGTTGTTGAGGATGATGATGATGCTGATGATGATGATGATGATGATGATGATGCTGAGGATCATGCTGATACTTCTGCTGATGATGATGCTGATGATGGTGGTGATGATGCTGATGCTGCAGATGATGCTGATGATGATGGTGGCGTTGGTTTTGGCGGTGGTGATGGCGATTATTTTGATGCTGATGGTGATGATGTTGATGCTGCTGCTGCGGCTGCTGATGATGCTCATGATGACAATGATGATGCTGATGATGACGATGATGAGAGCGACTATGAACGTGTGAAGGAGTATGAGCGAGGCTGGAACGTATGATCATGCGTCGGAGGAGGAGGAGTATGCTTTGGAGGTGGAGGAGGAGGCGGAGGAGGACAACGAGGGTTGGATCCGAAGGAGGAAGGGGGCCATGGTGGCAGAGCGAGCAGGGGGAGCAGGAGGGAGGATACAGGGGGGGAGGAGGGGGAGGAGCAGGTCCCGCCTCACTCCTCGCCTTTTCCACCCTCCCTCCTCTCCTTGCCCGCCCCTGCCCTGTGTCCACCTCCCTGCCCTCATCCGCCCCCCCCCCGTCGTGCCTCCCTCCCCGTTCGTCCACCGACCCGCAGGCACCAGCTTGCAAGAAAGGCCAAGTTGACTCCGCACGGGGCTGGAGCTTCCCATTCCCCAGCCCCTTCCCAGGCTGTTCCTCGCACGCCCGGCGTACGTAAGGGAGCCGGTGCTCCTCCTGGCAACATTCGATATGCGGTGTGCGATGTGTGGAGCTGCCCGTGGCACTGCGCACCGCAAGAACTTTGGCCGTGGCGCCTTGGCTGTCATACGTCGAAGCCTGGCCTCGGCCACAGTACAGTCAAGACGCTACAATGAGGGCAAGTTCGGGCTCGGAATGGGCTCGCAGCGACTGCCTGCTTCTTCGTGCACTCGGCCATGAAGGGGCTTCGCTCCTCATCTACAGCTCTTGATGGTCGTAGCTGAACTGTAGATGCTCCTGGCGGCCCATCGCGGTGCTGAGGGTGGCCACCCCTTCTCGGAGCTCTCCGGTAAGGGGTCCGTCGGCCGACGCTGCAGATCCTATGCGTTGGCCAGGTCGGAGACCGCCGACCGGGCGTGGCGTCCTCCAGCCGGTCAGCAGGCGGCGCCCCTGCGGCGCGCGCGGCATGGCAGGCCTCGGCAGCTGCGCCGTTCCCCCCCCGCGGGGCGCCGCGCCCCTGCCGCGGCGCAGCCGGGGAGTGGCCCCAACACGTGGCCCGCGAGGGGGCCGGGCAGGGCGGCCGAGGCCGCGCGCTGGCGGTCGAGCCCTGCGCACCTCGCCGGGGCTGCCGCGCGACTCGGGGCGGCCGGCACGGGTACGGAACGGAGGGGCCACAGGCGCTTCCAAGCAAAATTCGGGGAGCGTAAGACCCGGGTTTGCCAGGATTCGGGTTCGCCATCGCTTTTTGACGGCCGCGACTCGGATTTTGACGAGTAGGAGTTTCGTGGGATGTCTGGAGCGGGAGGCCTCGTCAAAATGCAGGCTCGGCCTCGTCATTTTTTTGACGACCTCGTCGGGGATTTCCGAATCCCCTGTACCCGGGTCTTACGCCCCCCTGAAAAACGTCATGCCGTCAAGCCACGAATCAATCATGGGGTGGGCGGGCAGGGGCGAAGCTCTGGGGATAGCATCCGTGTCCGTACATGGTGCCCGCCCCGCTTCCAGCGAGGTCTATCCTGAAATCCTCTCGTCCGATGCCAAGGGCGGACCGAGCGCTGGCGCCGTGTATCCCGTACGCCTCGTTCACGGAAACGTCCAGCGGCTGAAAGACCTCGGGATGGTCGCCAACGCGCGACATGGGTACTGAACGAATGGGTACAATGCCCAACAGCAGTTCCTGTTCATTTTGAGCAGGACTCGCCGTCCGCGCCGCCGCGGCCTGTGTCTATTTGAGACAGGAGGCCGCCTGCTTAACAGCGGCCGCTGTTGGTTTGGGACAACATGTGTTGTTGGGCATTCTACCCATTGTTTCCGTGACCATTTCGGGCGTCCACAGCGTCGGGCGGCGGCGCGCTTCGCATCGGCCCCGCCCGCAGGCGTTCCGGTTCAAGGCTAAACGCATCGCGCAGAGGAAAGATCTGCGCGGTCGTCGCTCTCCCATATACTCTCGGAGGTTGATCGACTTCCTACCTTGACACGTCGATTAGCGAGAGGGCGTCGCGGCCGCCATTTTTGCGGGTCCAGGTCCGTCGGTTTCGGCCCTAGGCCGTTTTCGCTAGAGGGAGCTTTACCAAAGGGAGGTTTGTCCACCGCAGATTCCGAAGCCTCCTCAGCCCCAGAGACACTACGCACAAGGGCTTTGCAAGAGGCCCAGCATAATCAAACACCCGAAAAACGTTTTAGGATTTCCCACGACGCGAGGGGGTTTGGGGATATCGCCACGCATGGCGCGCGCTGGCCTCCTGGTTATCAGGGGCATTGTTAGGGGGTGTTAGTCGCAGGGGAGGCGGTTTGTCCACCGCCGATACTCTACCCGCGCCTGCCACCCGCCGTCCCTTCTCAGAGCGAGGGGGCCGAACGGTCGTTCATGGTCCCTGGGTGCGCGGCAGAGGTGGCGTTCCGTCCAGAGGAATGTGCTGGTTGCTGTCGTTGTTGCTGTCGTTGTTGCTGTCGTTGTCGTTGTTGTCGTTGTCGTTGTTGTCGTTGTCGTTGTCGTTGTTGTCGTTGTCGTTGTTGTCGGTGTCGTTGTCGTTGTCGTTGTCGTTGTTGTTGTTGTTGTTGTTGTTGTTGTTGTTGTTGTTGTTGTTGTTGTCGTTGTCGTTGTTGGTGTTGCTGCTGTTGTCGTCGTTGTTGTTGTCGTTGTTGTTGTCGTTGTTGTTGTGGTCGTGGTTGTTGTTGTTGCTGTCGTTGTCGTTGTCGTTGTCGTTGTTGCTGTCGTTGTTGCTGTCGTTGTTGCTGTCGTTGTCGTTGTTGTCGTTGTCGTTGTTGTCGTTGTCGTTGTCGTTGTTGTCGTTGTCGTTGTTGTCGGTGTCGTTGTCGTTGTCGTTGTCGTTGTTGTTGTTGTTGTTGTTGTTGTTGTTGTTGTTGTTGTTGTTGTTGTCGTTGTGGTTGTGATTGAGGTTGTCGTTGTCGTTGTTGTTGCTGTTGCTGTTGCTGTTGTCGCTGTCGTTGTTGCTGTCGTTGTTGTTGTCGTTGTTGTTGTGGTCGTGGTTGTTGTTGTTGCTGTCGTTGTCGTTGTCGTTGTCGTTGTTGTTGTCGTTGTTGTCGTTGTCTTCGTCTTCGCCCTCGCCCGCGACCCGCTCGCGACCCACCCGCGACCCTCCCCGCGACCCACACTGCGACGCGACCCTCCCCGCGACCCTCCCCGCGACCCTCCCCGCGACCCACACTGCGACCCACCCCGCGTCCCACCCGTGAACCATCCCGCGCCCGCCCATCACTCTTATCCGCAATTGCGGGGTGCAACGCATCATATTCCCATTCGTGTTATCCGTAAGGGCTTCGCCCCCTGCCGCCGGGCCCCCTCTCTTAGAATGGGACTTGCCAGAGCTGTGTTCGGATGTCTGGACGCTGACGTGAAGCAATGTCGGGACTTCACTCACCACTCACCAAACCACCCCAGCCCAACCCGAAGGCCTCAATTTGCCCTCCATTTCCAGTGTGTGGGGGGTGGAACATTGAGAAAACACATATTGAACCCGTACCCCCCCCAACCCGAAATCCGGGTCTTCGGGTTGGGTTGGGGTGGTCTGGTAGGTAGTCATTCACGCGAGGGCCAATATCTTACTGCACGGCTTGCATTGCAACGCATTGCATACTTTACTAGGGTTTATGGCCTCGGGGACGCGAATATTGAGTCATTCAGTAGGGATTATGGCCTCGGGGACCTGAGCATAATGTATTTTCACGTGTCCCACGCCCCCCCCAGGAATTCAGACAGCGCGATCTGGGTGTGGTAAAATTGGTTGGTTTGGGGCTGCCCCCCTCGCGCGTTCAGCAACAATTTGAAATAGGAAGCAGACAGCAAGACTGTAACATTGGAGACTTGAAACTGGAACTGGTGCAGGGAGCACGAAAGCGTACTCTTCGCCGCCTGATGGCCCCGCAGGGGGGCCAGCGGTTTTTTTACCGATGGCGAACGAGGAACTGCAGGTGAGTGAAAGAACACGCGGTGCCAGCAGCCCTCATTCCCCCTCCCGCCCTCTCCCCGGATGTGCGCGCGCGGGGACGGAGAGAGGGAAGGGGATGTGGAGGAGGACAAATAACCAGCCTGGAACATATCCCTATCCCCATGCTGGGCACCTCCTCAGCACGATGCCAATCTCAGGGATTCCCTTATTTTTTGAGGGCGCATCCCCAGGATTGTCATCGCTTTTTGGCGTGTCACTCTCAGGGATAGGGATACGATCAAGGCTGGTAAGAGGTGGAGGAGGATCGAGAGAGGACGAGGAGGGATGGAGGAGGGTCAAGAGAGGACGAGGAGGGAAGGGGAGGTGGAGGAGGAGCAGGAGAGGGCGAGGCAGGGATGGGTGCCGCGAAGGGGGGAGCAGAGCCGGCGAGGAATGGTCGGCAGCGCGAGCACGAGGAAGAGGGAGGAGGGGAGCGGGGGGGGAGGAGGATCGAGAGGGAGGGCGGGGAGGAGGGAAGGTCAGAGAAGGGCAGGGTGAGACAAGGGTGACGTTTTTGCCTTTGTCGCCTCCGAGGGGCCTCCTCGTCGCCACGGCTGGACGCAGCGCGAAAAATCGGTGCGTTTGGACCCCAGGAGGGGTCCGGGGACCGATTTTGAGCCGATTTGAAGACCGTTGTCTCACGGCCGTTGTCTCACGTTGCCCTCCTCCGAGAAGAGGGGAAGGAAGAGGGAGGAGGCAGGGATGGTCGGAGGAATGTCGAGATGCAGGGGGGGGGAGGAGGAGCGAGAGGCCAGAGGCGGGCAGGCGGCGCAGGAGGAGAGAGGGAGGGCCCGGACCTCAGACGATTTTCTGTCCGTGCCAGGATCGGCAGACGCAGGAGGAGGGACGCGGAGGAGGAGGAGGAGGAGGAGGAGGAGGAGGAGGAGGAGGAGGAGGAGGAGGAGGAGGAGGAGGAGGAGGAGGAGTGACGCGAAGGAGGGGCAGGACGGAGGAGGGCACAGGCCTCTGAGCATTCTCTTTCCTTGGCGCCTGCCCGCGGGTCGCGCCCCCCCCCCCCCCCCCGACAGGAGTCGAGCGCTGCAGGTACTTTGCGGACAGGCGGCCCGTCAGCCACTCGGAGCGCCAGGGGCGCGCGTGTGGGCGGGGAGCGCCGGGCGCTTACTGGCGCGCAGGAGTGGGGGTACGATTAAGTCGGGCCTGTCCCTTTACAGGGGGAGTATTCAAAAATAGCCAAAACATAATATGGGGACGATGTTGCTTGTTTTTTGTTTGTTATGTTGGGGCAATTTTCGAGTACTTGTTATTTGTCGTCCAGAAGCCGCCAGTAGGGGGACATGCCCGACCTCAGAGTACGAGGCGGAGCAGGAGGGAGAGGCGGGGAGAGGAGGAAGTTGGCTGGGCGTCTGATCGGTACGGCCGAGATGTGCACGGAAAGAGCGGGGACGAACACAGACAGCAGTTCCTGCTCATTTTAAGCAGGGCTCGCTGTCGGTGTCCCCGCGGACGTTGTCCATTTGAGACAGGCGGCCGGCTGGCCAACAGCGGCCGCAGTCGTTTTTGAACAACATTTGTTGTTGGGCATCGTACCCATGTTTTTTGTATCCATTTCGGGCGTCCAAGTCTCAGGTGGCCCAGCAGTGGTTACGCCGGCAGGAGTGGGGGCGAGGTTCGAGACGGAGCAGGGGGGACAAACATGCACCAGGCGGACTTCGGAGACGTCCAGGGACCGATTTCGAGGGGAATCGGCTTCGTGCCCCCCTCTTTGATCGATGTTCAGGGGCCCCATCCAGTTCAGACCCCCTGGTCGCCTCCAAGATGCAGGTGAGCTTCGGGTCCTTGAGCTTTGATGTGTTGCTGATTTGCTGGCACGAATGGCAGTTGATGCTCGGCAAAGTCGCCTGTCGCGGCTACGGTGTAGAGGACAAAAACCAACGCGTGGACGGATGATGGGATGTACTAGGATGCGGATGGGAATGCGGATCATGATAATGGTGGTTGTGTTGGGGAGTGGCTATGATGATTGTGGCGGTGTAGATGGTAACGATGAGACAGAGACAGATCAGGAGGAGGTGGACGATGTTGCACGAATGATGTAGAGGAGGACGATAATAGCGACGAGGGTATGTTGCGGTCGATGATGGATGAGGGTGGGAGATGAACTGTTATGGGTGTCGCGCCTTGCGCAGCTGGCACAAGGAGGACAATTAGGTCGATGAACACATGGACGACAGGAACGGGAAGCAGGAGGACGTACAGCTATGAGAGGAGGAGGAGGAGGAGGAGGAGGAGGAGGAGGAGGAGGAGGAGGAGGAGGAGGAGGAGGGAGGAGGATGGGATGGCGGCGTTCGACGACCCCATAGGCCGACATATATATATATATATATATACACAATACATATATAATATAGAGAGAGAGAGAGACACAGAGGAGGAGGAGGAGGGGAGGAGGAGGAGGGAGGAGGAGGAGGAGGAGGAGGAGCAGGAGGAGAGGGAGAGGAGGAGGAGGAGGAGCAGGAGGAGGAGGAGGAGAGGAGGAGGAGGAGGAGGAGGAGGAGGAGGAGGAGGAGGAGGAGGAGGAGAAAGAGGAGGTGGAGGAGCAGGAGCATGAGGAGAAGGAGCAGGATGAGGAGGAGGAGGAGGGGACGGCGGCGTTCGACGACCCCACAGGCCGAGAGAGAGAGAGAGACAGAGGAGAAGGAGGAGGAGGAGAAGGAGCAGGAGAAGGAGGAGGAGCAGGAGGAGGAGGCAGAGGCGGAGGAGGAGGAGGAGCAGGAGCAGGAGCATGAGAGGAGGAGAAGGAGTTGGGGTAATGGTGATGGCGAGGGGGATCCGGGGAGCGCCATGGGCCCGCGTCGCGGCCGCTCCGTTTGCAACGCGGGCTGGCAGCCTCGACCTCGTCCCCTCGCCGCTCCGGCTGCCCGCCCCTGTCTCCTCGCTCCTCCTCCTGGGGCGGGGATTCGAAGGAGAAAAAACGCTAAACACAAAAACGTTTTGCGCTCCGCGCGGATTTCCTGGATCTGCGCTGGGGCCCCCCGGCGGCGCCTCCGGCGCCGCCCCTGCCGCGCTCCGCGCGCCAGGGAGGGCCGATGCAGTGGGGCCCATGCGCAGATCCAAGACATCTGATGCAGTGGGGGCCCATGCCAAGAATTAGGTTGGGCGTGTCGTCAAGCCCGATAGCCCTATCGACCTATAGCCTTATAGCATTCTCGCCCTAGCCCTATAGATCTATAGCCCTATAACCCTACAGCCCTATAGCTCTATAGCCGTATAGGCCTGCTACCCTGATGGCCCTATAACCCTATAGCCCTCATGGCCCTAAGCCCCATAGCACAATCGCCCTATAACCCTATAGCCCTATAGCCTTATAGTCCTACAGCCCATAGCCCTATAACCTAACAGCCCTATGACCCTATAGGCCTGATGACCTAAAAGCCCTGTATCCCTGTAGCCTAATCGGCCTATAGGCCTTGAGCCTGAGAGCCCTATAGCTCTATGCACCAAGGCACCCAGGAGTGCCGCCAAAATCGGCGCCAAACCTCACATAACCATGTGAATCCGCTGGGACCCTGATAGGTTTATAGCCCTATAGCCCTATAGCCCTATAGCCCCATAGCCCTATAGCCCTATAGCACTATAGCCCAATAGCCCTCTAGCCCTCTAGCCCCATAGCCCATATAGCCCTATAGCCCTTTAATCCTATAGCCTCAATCTCCCTACAGGCCAATAGCCCTTTGGCCCTTATGAATCCGCGGATATAGCCCTATAGCCCTATGGCCCTATGGCCCTGTAGGCCTGATGCCCTAGAAGCCCTATAGGCCTACAGGCCTATAGCCGTATAGCCCTTTGGCCCTAAGAGCCCTATGCACCAAGGCACCCGGGAGTGCCGCCGACATCGGCGCAAAACCTCACATAACCATGTGAACCCGCTGGGACCCTTATAGGTTGATAGCCCTATAGCCCCATAGCCCTATAGCCCTATAGCCCAATAGCCCTATAGCCTCATAGCCCATATAACCCTATAGCCCTTTAAGCCTATAGCCTCAATAGCCCTATAGCCCTATAGCCCTTTGGCCCCATAGCCCTATAGCCCTAAAACAAATATGATTGTTTTTTGATCTCCAGTGTCATATTATGAATTGTTGGCTATTTTTGAATCGCCCTCCTGTAGAGGGGCAGGCTCGACTCAAGCCAAGGAACACCCTGTCTGTATCCAGGGTTCCCTTGGTTTCTTGGGTTTCAAGGGTTTTGCGATGGAAAGCGTGACGGCTCCCACACCAAAAGTCCATGGACGTTCTGGGGTCTCAGGGTCGGGTTTCTTGTCGAAGGTTTCTTGTGGATGAGCCTCCGCTGCATCCATAGCCACCGCCCGCAGGGGGCCCAGGTGAGAAGCCGGCCCCGGGGAAGGGGTCGGGACCGCTGGGGCCGCGGGGGCCTAGGACGAGGGCCAGTTCGTTCCAGAGCGTCCTGGAACTCTCTGAGGAGGCCGCGGTGCCCGAGACGCGGGGGCGGCCAAGAGTTATGATTTGCCAATTCACTTCAGCCTTGACCACCAGAAAGAATTTCGAGCACCAGGAAAGTACCGAAATTTGAGGGTTTGCGCGTGTCGGGCCCTGGGAGACACTCGTTCGACACTGTTTCGACACTTTTCCGGGTGCTCGAAATTATTTCTGCGATGTGGTCTTTAAGTACGATGGGAGCAACATACGCCAAGAGGGGGGGGGATGACAGGGGGTGGGTGGATACCATGGCGGGGGCCAGGATCTTTTGCCAGATCTCATGGCACCTCTCCTCATTTCATGACGTCCCCGGCCCCCCCCCTGGGCCGCGCACGTGCCGCCGGCCATGCTTTGCGCCCCCCCCTCTTGGACGCCCCCCTCTTGGCCTCCCCCGAGAGACATCTTCCAGAGTCGCTGGGTCTCAGAGATTCTCGATTCATCCTCACCCGATGTTATCCTCGTCCTTTTACGTTGCATCTTCGGGGGACCTCTTCTGTCCCCCAAATTGGTGTTTTTTCTTGTGCCCGACGCGGGCTCGATGCGGACTCGACGCGGAGCAGGCGTGGACTCGACGCAGATTCGACACAGATTCGACACGGATCCGACGAGGCCGACATGGATTCGACACGGACTCGACGCGGATAGGGCCGCGACGGGACAGGCGCAAAAAAGTCATAAACAACAAACAAAGTCATAAACATATGATAAAAAGTTATAAACAAGTCATAAAACATAATATTCGAACCGCAAAAAAGTCATAACACATACTTTCGACGGTCCGCGTGGATTTCCTGGATCCGCGCTGGGCACCCCAGGCGGCGCCGGGAGGCCCGCACTCCGCTCGCCAGGGAGGGGTGTCCAGCCCAGATCTGAGAAATCCGCGCGGGCCTCCAGCAGATCTGCTTGTGGCGTCATTGTTTCTTCATGTAAAGCTGCAACATGACATTAAGTCGGGCGTGCCCCTCCACAGGAGGAGTATTCAAAACTAGTCAAAAAATCGTATGAGGACGATTCTTTGACAAGGTTTGAATGCTTGTGGGGTATGTTCCGGATTTTGTGAATACATATTTAGATATTAAGAATCCTCCTGCAGGCGGAAAAGTCCGACCTGGACATAACGCCCTGGCTTCGTGTTCTCTGCGCGGGCGGTCCCCCCCCCCCCGCGGTCGGCACCCGGGGGGAGGCCGAGCGGGGGCGGGCAGGCCCGCCCCCCGGAGCTCTGCGGGGGTGTGCCGCGCGGCCGCGCGCCGTGGAAGCAGGGACACGGCGAGCGGGGCGCGGCCCCAAGGTCCCCCGTGGAGGAAGCACTTTCGGGGGTGGACAGACCTCCAAGAAAATCCGGGGGTGGACAGACCTTCAGAGACCCGAATCATCAGGGAGAACTCGGGTCATGGCTAACTCGGGTTCGTTTTTCGGGAATCCGAACCCGAGTTGCCCCGGGCCCGAGTTTCCCCCGGATAACTCGGGCGTCCAGAGCCCCAAATCATCAGGGAGAATTCGGGTCAGGGCTAACTCGGGTTCGTTTTTCGGGAATCCAAACCCGAGTTACCCCGGGCCCGAGTTACCCCGGATAACTCGGGCGCCCAATACCTCCTACCTTGACACGTCGATTAAGGAATTGGCCGTTTTCGGTTCGCGAGAAGGCGTCGCGGCCGTCAGTTTTGCGGGTTCAGGTCCGTCGGTTGCGGTTCCAGGCCGTTTTCATTAAGGGGAGGTTTGCTAAAGGGAGGTTTGTCCACCGCCGACACCTGGTATCGCTCGGACGTGCGCACCTTCTCACGGCGGGGATTATTAAGGAGCATCCCGGATCAGCCTGCGAAAAAACACGCACGACACCGAACAAAAGCACGGGGAGTCGACGTCCGAGCGACGGCAAGAGCAGCAGCAGCAGCAGCAGCAGCGTCCAGGAAGTCCGGTGATGCATGCGACGCTGCTGTGAGCAGCGTGCGAAGAGCAGTCCGGAGTATCGTTGCGCACGCAGTCCGTTTTGCACGCTCAGGGTATAGCGCAGGCGGGAGAGACGGGTCTGCAGCGAGGCTTCCCAAGCTCCGCGCAGCCGTCTTTAGCCTCCGGGGCCCCGTAAGGGGCCGTGCTAGCAGCACGCATTTTTGCACACGCGTCGAGTCCAGGAAAAAGTCCTTGCATGTCCCTCTACAGGAGGAGCATTCCAGAATAGTCAAACAGCAGTCTTGTGACGATTCCTCGCGCTCTTCCCGAAGGAATCTCACGACGCCGGAGGCCGGAGGGACCCCGGAGGCCTGCATACGTAGAGGCCTTGGGAGGCAAGGAGAGGGCCAACAGCTTGACATTCTTCGGCCCCCGACATCTTCTGCTCAGACGGGCAAGGGGATGTGAGAATGACACGCTCCAAGATTTCAAGCCTCTCCGTCTGGTCCGCACGGGCTCCAGAGATGAGGACCGCCAGATCCTCCAGAATTCCTGGAACGGGCCCGTAGCCAGTTGCATCTTGATTTCAGCCTCGCCCTGTCTTCCTCAAATCAGCGGGGATGCCTTGCTTCTGACGGTGCGGTGCCGTTCCTTTTTTGATCGCAGCTCTGGACAATCCTCCTCGTGTGATGTTGGGTTCATGACTTGCGGCTGGGGTACGACTGGACGTCTTAGACCGAGGGCCGATGCTCTGCAGTATGTTGCGCATGTTTTACTTCTCCGCTCTCCTTCCTCTTCTCCTCTTCCTTCTCCTCCTCCTCCTCCTCAGCTCGTCCTCCTCCTCACTTCTATTTGGGGTTCGGTTCCCGCTCTTATGTGCTACTTGATCGCAGTGCCGACTCATGCTTTCGAGGCTTATCTGGGTCTGCGCTTCGTGCAACAAAAAGGGCAGGGTCGTGGGCGAACAAGTGTCCGTATCCGCGGCCTCGCGGACTGGACCTTTAGGCCGTGATTGAGGGGATACGGGGCGTTTTTTTCGCGGATGCCCCGCACCGAACGTATTCGTGTCATCGCGTATTCGCGGGATCGCTCCCCAGAATCCAGACAGCGACGGCGCGGATACGGATATGGTCGCCGCTCGTGACGAGGGGCAGGTTCTCGACTCCGAGACCAAGATCGTGCACATGGGGTCGACCACCATCGACCCGCTCGAGATGATGCGGGCCCTAAGGCAGCTCTTCGCGCCGGGGTCCTACGATCTGATGCCCAGGTCGACCGCATCTCCGCCGGCCTCGGCAGAAGAGGAGGAGGAATGGGAGAAGATGTGAGAGGCGGGACGAGAAGGAGGAGGAAAACCAGTGTACACACCCAAGACGTATCAACGATGTCACTCTGATCCCTCTCTCCAGGTTCTCTCTTCATAGGTCCCTACTGGATTTGATACTCTTGCGGGTAGTGGTCTATTAGACGACAACCGTTTGATCATCTTCAATCATGCCAACACGCAATTCCTATGACTTAAACGTGCGCCTTGACAAGTGTGAATCGTGCCGGAGCTTACTTCGCGGGACTTCAACCACACCGATATGTGAACCTGTCGCAATTTTTGGAGACGAATTTGCGCCGGCGCTCAGCGGAGAGCCACATTCAGAGAAGGACCCGCCCTACATCTGTGCAACGGTCGCAGGTTTCAAGTTTCAGACTCATGCATGTCACCAGCCTGGAACATATCCCTAAGATTGTCGTCGACTTGTGGCGTGTCAATTTTAGGGATAGGGATACGTTCGAGGCTGGTTAACACGGTAAGGAGTCTCAGGCGCAACGCCCAGCTCGCCCTACCGACATGTCTTGGGGTGCGGCATGGAGGAGTTATTTACAAGGCGTAAAGGGAGGAGGAGGAGGAGGAGGAGGAGCAGGAGCAGGAGGAGGAGGAGGAGGAGGAGGAGGAGCAGGAGCAGGAGCAGGAGGAGGAGGAGGAGGAGGACGAGGACGAGGAGGACGAGGAAGACGAGGAGGATCAGGAGACGCAGACGGAGGGGCAAGGTGAGGATATGTGAGTCTGGGGGGCAGGAGTAGGTGAGGAGGAGGTGGCGGAGAGAGGACGAGGTGGAGGCAGTTAGGAGAACGAGGAGGATGCAGTGAGGAGGCAGAGGGATTAAACACGACTTGGAAGAGAAGGCAATTCGGAGGCAGCGATGATGAGGATGAAGATACGAAGAAAGAGGAGGAGAACGATGATAGTGTTGTGGGAATTGCAAACAGAAGGAGGACGAGGATGAGGAGCGGAAGAGAAAGAAGACGAGGCGGAGGAGGACGGGGAGGAGGCGGAGGAGGAGGCAGCCAGGAGTCAAGCCAGTTGTGAGTCAGGCCTGCGAGGGCCTCTCAGGGGCGGACCAGGGCGGATCAGAAAGAATTGCAATAGCTTCTGCGACTGCGCGCTCTTCTACCTGTTGTCCGTGCGGCTCGACCCCCGATACCGGGAGCTCGAGAGGAGGGGGCGGTCGCGCCGTGCGCTCTCTGGCTCTCTGTACATTCTGTCGGGCCTCCTGTCTGAAAGCGGAACGTGCACATTACCATTGGCAATCCCAGGCTTTTTTTTTAGGGTCGGGGGCTACGTCGGGTTTTTGTGGTATTATATATATACATATATATATACTCTCATACGCACCTCTCCGAGGGAGTAGAGCTCAGAGGCGATCAATGCGTACGCGCCGCGTCGTTCGCGATTTGTCTGGCCGTTTCGCTAGGGACATCCTCGAAATTCTGAAAATCGGTGGCACCCCTCACACAGATCGTCACGTCAGGGTCCAAAAACACATGGGAACTTCAACACTTTAACATTCTACACTTTAATATAAAACCTTCAAACACACATTGTAAGTTCAATAATTTTGACCCCGATTCTCAGAGAATGGCGGTTTCGCCCGAGACATCCTCCCAAAATCGAGCCCCGACGTACCTTCCGGCACCCCAGACCCCACCTCGGAGCCTCCTGGGGGCCTCCTGGAGCCTCCTGGGGCCTCCTGGGGCTTTCTGTACCTTCTGGTACCCCAGACCCCGCCTCGGAGCCTCCTGGGGGTCTCCTGGAACCTCCTTGGGCCTCCTGGGGCCTCCTGCGGCCTCTTGGAGCCTCTTGGGGCCTCCTGGCCTCCCGGAGCCTCCTGGGGTCTCCTGGGGCCTTCTGAGGCCGCCTGGGGCCTCCTGGGGCCTCCCGGGGCCTCAGAACTACATGCACACACAGAGACACAACTCACACCTAACACATCACACGCTAGACAAACATAACACACACACAACACCTACAACGCACAGAAAACACGCATAACACAGAGCACACCCACCCTCCTGGAGCCTCTTTTGGTATCCAAGTCGGGTCTCCTTTGGCTTCCCGGGGGGCCCTGGTACACACATCGCAAGGTGTGGCAACCCCACTTGCGCTCGAGTGCGACCTCGCTATTGCATTTCACTCCCAGCAGCTATCCTCCTCTTCTCCTCCTTCTCTTTCCCCCCACAAATTGTCTGGTGAAACGTATCGGCTGGTGGGAATCGTGCTTACACTTCTCTTGTTAATCGTTTCGCTCACTCCGACAGCCCATCTTGCATCACTGGTGCTATATGTTCGTGTGACTGTGGCGAGCCAGAAGGATGAGGAAGAGCAGGAGGAGGCACGCCCTGGCGGCGCCGCCCCAGCTTCCCCTTCCCGCCGTCATGGTGTCTTCCTGCTTCAAACGCCCTTTCAGATTTTTTGGGTACCAACCTGGGCACACACGTGCCACTTGTGTAGATATATATATATATATATGTATACTTCTCCGTCATCCCAGGGAAACAACGAAACATGTGGACACCAGGATCCCGTATACACCAGGATCCGCTTTCCTTTGCGAGTCTCAGTGCGGGGCCGGAAAGAGCGTTGGTGCATAGAGTTCGGCTCCCTCTCTCCTGGGACCCCCGCAGCGGAGGGTTTCTCCGAAGGGCTTAGGCGACCCGTCCTCCTCCTCCTCCCCCTCCTCCTCCTCCTCCTCCTCCTCCTCCTCCTCATTCCTTCTCCTCCTCCCCCTCCTCCCCCTCCTCCTCCTCCTCCTCCTCCTCCTCCTCTCCTCCTTCTCCATCTCCTCCTCCCCCTCCCAATCCTCCCCTCCCCCCTCCTCCTCCCCTCATCCTCCTCCTCCTCCTCCTCCTCCTCCTCCTCCTCCCCTCCACTCCTCCTCCCATCCTCCTCCTCCTCCTCCTCCTCCTCGCCCTCCTCCTCCTCCTCCTCCTCCTCCTCCTCCTCCTCCAGGCTCGGAGCCCTCGAGATCCGTACGCTGCGTTTTTTGTTTCGCACTGGGAGTGCTCGTCCGCCTTCGGGCCGCGGGTCCATCACACATCGATCCGGCTGGACAAGCTGTCCAGGAAAGGTGAGGTTTTGCTTGGAGGGTTTCTCCGAAGGGCTCAGGCGACCCGTCCCCCTCCGCCCCCTCCTCCTCCTCCTCCTCATCATCATCCTCCTCCCCTCCTCCTCCTCATCCTCCTCCTCCTCCGCCTCCTCTTCCACCTCCTCCTCCACCTCCTCCTCCTCCCCCTCCTCGCCCTCCCCTCCTCGGGTCGAATACGGCCCCTGGGGAAACCGTCCAGCTCTAAGGCTCCGGCTTTGATTTTTCGCGATGACGCATTTCCGTCGCAACGTCGGATCTCGAGGATTTGGTCCCAGGAGGGGTGTGATGGTCTGGCCCTGCCTTGGGTCTTGGTCGGGAAGCCTTTTTCGTTCCTGGGGCTCGACGTGGCCAGAGAAGCCCTATCGTTCCCGATGCCGCGTTCCTCCTGATATGCAGCACGATGGCAGGGCCACTCCTGGGCTCCCGGGCCCCCCCAGGGTGGGTGTTGGCAGACCTCATTCGCCACCCACCAAGCCACCCCGACCCAACCCGAAGGCCTCCGTTTGCCCTCCACTTCCGGTTGGGTGGGCCGGGGAACATGCAGAAAACACACAGAGGGAGCCCGTGACCCCCCCCCCAAGCCCGAACTTCGGGTCTTCGAGTTTGGGGTTGGGGTGGTGCGTTTGTGGACCTCCGTGGCGTGGGCCAGGAGGGCATGCACGCCAATGCCGAGTCGTCTCGGCCCACGGTGGCCCTGGCCAGGCACACGCAGGCTTACGATGGTCCAACCTGCTTTTTAGCTTCGATCGCCCGGAAGAACTGCGAGCACCAAGGCAGTGCCGAAACTGGAGGGCTTACACGTGTCGGGCCCTGGGAGGCGATACTCACCACCCACGAAACCACCCCAACCCAACCCGAAGGCTCAGATTTACCCTCGATTTCCAGTGGGGGGGGGTCGGGAAACATCGAAAAAACACATGTGGACCCCTGACCCCCCCAACCCGAAATTCGGGTCTTCGGGTTGGGTTGGGGTGGTCTGGTAGGTAGTCAGATACTCGTTCGACACCGTTTCGATACTTTTCTCTCGGTGCTCGGAATCATTTCCGGGACGCGGTCCTGAGAGTGCGATGGGAGCCACGTGGACGTGGGCGGTGTTGTGCGGGGGGGGCCTCTGCGTGGCCGCGGCTGCCCGCCGCTCGACACGCTGGGCCGCGTGGGCGCTGGGAGGGGCCGAGTTCGATGCTCGTCCGGGGCACCTCTTTTCCTCTGGGGCCCAACTGCTGGATCTGTTCCGCTCCAGTTCGACTCGAGTTCGACTCAAAGTTCGACTCAGGCTCGGCTCAGGTTCGACTCAGGCTCGACTCGGGTTCGACTCGAGTCGACGGGCGCTCGACGCAGCCTCGACGCGCGAATGGAGCGAGTGGCTCCAAGGAGGTCCCCAGAGTGAGCATGTCAGCCGAGGCACCGCGGCTGGAACGGAGTATCTGCGGCGCGGCCCCTGCAAGTCGCCCGCGGGCCGCGAGGACAGAGACTTTCGCTGGGGTGTCTTGACGTTGTCCCGGGTCATGGGGCCCGCCCGCCCCCCTCCCCTCTCCCGGGGGCCCCCAAACGATGCGGTGACCACACCGTGCGGTGAGTCGGTGGGGATTCGGGGTCACCGCACGGCCTCGGGACTCGGGTCGTTCTCCGAGGACGTCTCGGGCGACAGGGGCCTGGACCGTGCGGCGACGGGCCGTGCGGTGAGGTCTTTGGGGGATGTCGAGGTCACCGCACGGTCTGTCACCGCTCCGCCTCGGGACTCCCAACCTCTCGCGGCCTCCCGGCCAGGGGGACGAGGAGGAGGAGTAGGAGGAGGAGGAGGAGGAGGAGGAGGAGGAGGAGGAGGAGGCTCTCCCCCCGCCCCCCCGATGACCTGGCCTTGTCGGGGGCGCATGGTCCGAAGGGGGGGATGCGCAGTGCGGGTGCGCGCGGGTGTCCGTGGGGCTGCCGAGAGCGAAAGGGTTCGGTCATCGCCCGGCACCTCCCCCCCTCGCCCCCGCTCGCCGAGCGCGTTCCACTACTCGCAGAGTGCCGACTCGGGGTCCGGCACCTCGCACCCATAACCCAAGGCGCCTTCGTCGCCCTGCCCTTCTCTCGATTCGTCCTCCCTATATAGGTTTGGGTGCGTGTGTTGTTCTTTCATCGGGGGCGGAAAAGAGGGGGGTGATGACTAGGGGGGGGGATATCATGGCGTGGGCCATGATATTTCCCCAGGTTTCATGGCGCCTGTTCTTATTTCATTACGTTCCTGGCCCCCCCGCTGGGCCGTGCACATGCCGCCGGTCATGATTTGCACCCCCCCCTTTTGGGCACCCCCCTCTTGGCCGCTCCCGATACTCGCAAAGTGCCGACTCACAAACGTCGAAAAAACACATGTCTGCTCTGATGTATGTTATCGCAGGTCCTCCGCGGGAGATCCAGGCCATTTGCGAGCAGCGACTTTGCGAGTAGCGGAACGCGCTCGTCCCACCGGATAGCCCGAGCTATGGTCGAAGCATCGAAGACGATCTCATAGCCCTTCTCCGTCAGAACCAGCTCACGTTGCTTGCGAGTGCCATGGCTGGAGTCACGTTCCTGGCGATGCTTGTCGGGCTGTGGCCCTTTTCCTTGGACGGAAGCTCTTGCAGCCTTAGCTGCAGAAACCTTAGTTGGCTTCGGCTATGGTGCGTTCTCGCAGTGAGTAAGCCGCTCCTGGGGCACATCCTGAAATAATCGCAGACGCTTGTGGTCGTGAGGCTCTGCCAGCTCTGCGGGTGATCCGTGTGGACGACGGTTCGGAGAGAAATAGAGACCAGCAGGCGGTGGTAGGATCGATGGGCTGTCCCTGTCCTGGGTTTGCAGATCCCGCACCCAAGCAGAGCCACATTGGCGCGGGTGTGTTCGAGCAGCGGACGTCACATTGGATTCCCCGCGCGTCTCAGACTTCCTGGCGACAAATCGCCGCTCCTTACGTTGCAGCTTCGGTGGACCTTGCCCGTCCTTTGAACGACGGTATTTGTTGCATCCGTCGTGCGGTCGGCGCGAATTCCACGTGTATCTGGCGTGGATTCGACGCGGATGCGACGTGAATTCGACGCAGATTCAGCGCGTTCGACATGGACTCGACGCGGGTTCGGTGCGAACAGCGGCGCGATGGGACAGGGTCTCCCCGAAGACGCAACACAGCGCTCGGCTTTCGTCGGGCCTGTCCCTCTACAGGGGGAAACGTCAAAAAATAGGCTGGGGACGTTTTTCTTTGTATTTTTGAGCATGTTTGACTATGATTGATTTTCGACTATCTAGGCTATTTTTGATTTGTCGTCCCAAACCCGTCTGTAGTGGGACACGCCCGACCTAACGCTCGGCCCTGGGCGAGGCCCCATCCGAGGCGACGGGCCTGGAGGGCTTCTCCGAAGGGCTTAGGCGACCCGTCCTCCTCCTCCTCCTCCTCTTCCTCCTCCTCCTCCTCCTCCTCCTCCTCCTCCTCCTCCTCCTCCTCTTCCTCCTCCTCCTCCTCCTCCTCCTCCTCCTCCTCCTCTCTCCCTCCCCCTCCTCCACGTCCGTTTCCTCCTCCTCCTCCTCGGGTCGCTGAAGGCCCCGGGGGAAACCGTGCAGGGGCCGCCAGGGCGCCTGGTGAGGGCCGTCGGTCACCGAGCGGCTCCCACTGCTCGCAAAGTGCCTACTCGCAAACGTCCGAACAAAAAGCAACACGTTCGTCTCGATGGTATATATATATATATATATATATATATATATACATCGACATGTATATCGTAAATCCCCCACGGCGGATCCAGGCCATTTGCGAGCAGTGACTTTGCGAGTAATTAGTGGAACGCGCTTGGCTAGTCGGCAGAGATTGAAGAAAAGGCGCCACAAGCATAAACTTTTGGCGCTCCGCGCGGGTTTCTCGGACCCGCGCTGGGCTCCCACAGGCGGCGCCTTCGGCGCCGCCCCTGGCGCGCTCCGCGCGCCAGGGATGGGGGTCCAGCGCAGATCCGAGAAATCCACGCGGAGCTCCAAAAGTTTATGTTTATGACGTTTTTGTGTCTTCTTCTACAGATGGGGTCCGAGCAGGTGGGGTCGGATGGTCGCACCGATGCATCGGCGATGCGCTTCGATGTGGAGCCCGATTTTCTCCACGCCGATGGCGCCGCCGATGCATCGCCGACGTCGCAGATGCACCGCCGATGCAGCGATGGTGCATCGGCGATGCGGCGCGATCCTTCGACCCCGGGCCTCCCGTTTTCGCGCCAGAGTTGCCCAATATTGCACTCGAGCCTAGTCTTCCAGCACTCGTCCTGAAACAGGAGTTCCCCTGGATCAACCAGTCCAGGGTTCTCCCGTATCGTATTTAGGGACACCGGATAGGGCCCCCCCTGGTCCAGCTCTATCCCTGGATCGCAGTTGGGCCCTCCCAGGAAGATGGAGCCGCGCTCAGAGCGTGCGGTACCTCAACCTTCACCTGCAGCACTCAGACTGAGAACGGGCCCCTGGGAAGGGCTGGGTGGGTGTCTCGGAAGAGGGGTCGTGTGAAGGATGGCTGGGAAGGGCTGTCTGGGTGGGCTGGCTGGGAAGGGCTGGCTGGATGGGAAGGCCTCCAGAGGTCCAGGGGTGGGTGCCTCGGAAGTGTACGGGTGGGTCCGGCGGCGCTGCGTGGGTCCCCAGAGTGTTCCTGCGGTTGGCTGTGATTTCAACGAAACCGTGATACAGGGCCGTTTTTAATACATGTCCCGCGTGCGGATCATGTATTCAAAATGTAAGGATTTACTATTGAAAGCAACGCTGAGTGCATGCATGAATTTATTCATACATTGATCATGTATTAAAAATCCCATATAAAAAAATCTCAACAACAAACCTATGTATTAAACACTGCCCTGTACGGTGTTGCGCCAGTCTAGGTGTGGCGAGCGTTTCTATCGGTTGGGATGCATATTCTGGGAGGTTCCCCTGAGCATCGGCGCTGGTAGATCCGCGGCCTAAGACAAGCCGGAACCCGCAGGATCCCGCTCAAGCAGGCGCAAGCCCATTCAGCTTGGCTCAGCAATGCGGCTGAATCTTGGGCTGAATCTGGAGGACCACTTCAACGGGATGAGTAGCTCAAGTTCGTTCTAACGGAGACCTCACAGCCAGAAGGTGCTTCCTAAAACATATGTGTTGTTTGGAAAGCTCGTTCTGCATCTTTGACGCCTCTGGCCACGGGGGGCCCTTGAGTGACGGTGCTATTGCTGCACGCTCGTGGCCCTACTGGGCGACAAGTCAGGCGGCGGCCGAGGGGGGGGACGTGCCCCCGGGGTGAAGTGCGAGGCAGCAGGCCTGCTCAGAGGGCAGCAGGGCTTCTGAGAAGCCCTCTGGCCTTCGAAAAGGCCCGCCCCCTCTCGCTTCCTCCTGGGCCCGTCGCGGAGTTGAGCAAGATAAGCGAGGATGATGTAGCTGGCGTGGTTGGCCAGGATCGCCAAGTGGGGTCAAAAGAATTTCGGCTTGATGAACGCTCTCAAGATGACTGGCCTCAGGACGGTCCGGGAGTTGGCTGTGCGAAATTCGAGGGCCAGTGATGTGATGCATGTCGTTGCGCCAGAGACAGTTTTCACAAGAGGTGTCAGGGGCTCTGTCGTAGTTGTACTGGCCACACGGATGATGATACAGAGCCATCGCGGGGGTTATGAGTAAGAGGAGCAGCACGGACACATTGGCAATTGGGAGAACAGCATCACAGGAGTGTCATAGAAGACGAATATGGACAAGTAGAGGAGGAGCAGAAGAAGATTGAAAAGACGAAGTCGCAGTTGATGAGCAGTCACCCATCCAGCCAGATATCATACATGCACGCGGGAGAATGGCGCACAACTAATGTAGTACATGCGTTGCACTAGGAGAAGGAAACTTTCACGAAGAGGATGAAGATGAGGTTGAGGCTGAGAAGGGGGATGTTGACGGGGAGGCTGACGAGGAGCTGGATCGGGATGAGGGTGAGGATGTGGAGGTTTCTGCGTGCAGGAAAAAGACGAGGGGATTGGATACAGTGACAAGTCCGAGAGGTGGTACTCGCTGCACTGGATACAACCAACGGCTTGGGAATGAAGGAGGGATCTGCTCGCCCAGCAGTAGGAGCAAGTTACCCTTGTGCCCCGATGTCTCGGTCCCCCCCCGATCCTTCCGCCCCCGAAAGCTAACGCACTCCCGCCGAGGCGGTGGAGCTGAAACAAGACGATGTGAGAGAAGTGATTAATGCTTTGGCAGGCTTTTTCGCGCATGCGCATGCGGAGGGGTGCGATGAATTAAAACTCCGAAACTGCCTAACGATTCCTCTCTCCTTCTCCGTACAGTTGTAGCACATGCCCAGACACAGCATACGTTTTGCCAAGGCACCCTAGTGTTCTTCAGTTTGTTTCCGGATTGAAGGATTGCAGCGGTCGCGAAGAAACCGCAGTTGGCAGGGTACCCTGACTGGCTTGACGCTGAAATGCTTTGCGCGAGACATCAATAAACCACCTGGCCCAGGGTGCCCAGAGTTTTTTCGGTGGCAGCCGCTCAGCATGACATCCGAGCTGGGGCCAAGGAGCTTCGGCGACTTTCAGGGTCGGGTTTCTTGCGGTGGGTCTGTCATGCACTAGTCTTGACTGTAGTTCCTGCCCGCCAGCCGCTTCGACGACGCCGCCGGTGGCGTTCCAGCTAGCGGCGGCGCGGAGGCGGCGCCCATCGGCGACAGCGCGGCGGTGGCGGCGACGGCGGCGCCGCTGGCGCCGAGGGTCGGAGGAGCAAGAGGCCACGACTAGGGCGAGAGGGCCGGTCGCTCTTGCACCATCCTCCAGGTGCGCGGGCGGAGTGGCACTCCGTGGCCCGGTTGCTTCTTGGATCGTCAGTGGTTTGATGCGTGTCGTATGCTGTTTTCGTTGCTGTTCTCGTAGTCGTCCCCCCGCGACCCACCCCGCGAACCGCCCCCCCGCCCGCTCCATCTCTGTGGTCCGCGATTGCGGGGCGCCGTGCGGGTCGGGCAGTGGCGGAGCGTCCCGACCTGCTTGTAGGCCCAGCGGATGTTCCAAGCGACGGAAGGGTACGGGTTCGTCTTTACCCGACTTTGGCGGCGCTGGCCTCACGCCTGGGCAGGGGTGCCCTAAGCAGCCGCGCGCCCCCCTCCCCCTTGCCCCCTCTGCGCCACAGATGTGGCGGCCCTCCTTCCTGGAGCCCATGCGGAGCAGCAGCGAGTCCTGGACGTCTTGGCAGTCTTGACGTCTCGGAGCGCATCCGTACGAGGACACCGTTTCGAGCAGGGACCGACCGCCCCAGCATGCTTGCCGGCCTGCAGCGGAGCGCTCTGAGAGCGAACGAACATTCTACGAACGCAGACAGTAAACTTAGAAAAGAAAGCCAGCACATTAAAACAAGACGGCCTGAACCAGACCACAAATGAGTGTCTACCAAAACCGAGTCTTACGCGAGATGGCCTAGCGACCGGCCCCTCGCCCTCGGCCTCGCCCGCCTGCCACTGACGTCCCTCGTGCTCGCCTGGGCGCTCGGTGGGGGGCCTGGTGGTTGACATGCCTGGCTGCAACGCGCGCGCGTTTTTCCCTTTCGAGCGTTGCTGGAAGTGTCGAGCTCCGCTCATAATGCACCGCGTGGACTCTGTGGAGCACTCGGGCACTGACGCTGTCCCAAAGGATCGGGCCGAGTTCCCTCGCTGGCTGTGGAGACCAGGTGGCGGGGTGCAACCCGTCCGACTCGCTCTGGGGTCTGGATGTGCAGCGGGCCCGTGTTGTGGCTAGCCGTCGGGGCGTGGATTAGCCGACCAGCAACGCGTCAGGTAGCTGACCTCGTTGTAGCCGCGTTCGTCGTTGCGTTTCGTGTTTCGCGCTGTTTGTTTTCGTTTTGTCTCGCTGTTCGGCCGCGCCCTTGTGTTACCGTGCCCCCGCGTTGTCGTTTCCGCGCCAAGAGGTCGTCGTCTCTTTCCCCTCGGCCCCGCCGTCCCCGCGGAGATGGAGCGCGCGCTCTCCGAGACCTCTCCTGGGTCTCGGCGGGCGTTTTGCACTGTGGGTACCCTTTCGTGGCGTTTTGCAATGCAGTATTGCTGACAAGAACGTGGAGCACGCGAGAGACGCTGGACATGTGCAGCGGGGGTGGCTAGATCAAACATCATGTCCATCACCATCACCATTACCATTACCTTTGCGATTGCCATTAACATTGCCGTTGCTATCATCAGCAGCATCCTCATCATCACCAGCATCCTCGCTATGATCCTCAACACCACCTATAACCATCACCATCATCACCAGCACCATCACCAGCACCATCACGATCCTTGCCCGTCAAGGGGGAAGGTATCATGAGAACCCGCGGGCCGCCGACTTCAAGGTCGACGATGCGGTGCGGAAGCTGGCGGCGCTGCGGGGCGTGCCGTACGCGCCGCGTCCAGGGGCGGAAGAACCGCCCAAGGACCGACCGCGCGGCGGGCGGGTGCCGCCGCCCGCGCGGTCAGCTGGCGGCGCGCACGAGTCATGAGCTGACATGCGATCGAGGTAGAAAAGCGCGCAAGCCGCCCGCGTAAGGTCGCGTGCTAGCACTCTCGTTTCCAATGTAGCGTGTCGCGGCGGCGGCCCGCGCAAACCACCGCGCGTAGGACCCCGCTGGTGGCGCCCACGAAGGGCTGGTGCGAGGGGGCTGTGCTTCCGAGAAGGCGGCGTTGCTGCTCAGAACCCAGGGGAACCTATTCGAACCGAAGAAACACAAACTGCATGAACATACTGTTTCGGTGTTCCACGCAGATTTCTTGGATCGGCGCTTGGGCCCCTGTGGCTGCGTTTCCGGAACTGCTTCTGGCTCGCTCCGCGCGCCAGGGCGAAGTGTCCAGCGCCGATCCAAGGAATCCGTTCGAACCTCTTCCAGAGTTCGTGTTTATGTTATTCGATGTTCCTTTGCAGAGGCCCGCTTGGTATTTAAGAAGCAATGACGGGCCGGGTACACAATACGACGTATCTGCATGTGATGCTATGCCCTGACGTTACGTGTGGGGCCGGGAGGGACCGCTCCCGAACAACGGTCGCCGCAGCTCTTCGAGTTGCGTGGTGTCCTCACACGCCTACGGATTGGGGACACAGCTTGGTTCTACCCCCGCCCGGTTTTTAAGACCATGCACCGACGCAGCTACACGCCTAACGTGGACGTGCGGTTTGTGTGTCGACACGATCACGGCACCTGTCATCACCGTGCCCCACGCCGTGGGATGGAGTTGGAAAGGCAAGGGAAAGAAACATATCAGGAAGACACGGAAAGTCCACCCGAACTACCACATCACCCACGAGCGGGCAAAGCACCGACGGAAATGGCACCCTGGGGAAAACTGGCAGGACGCTGGTAACTACCGACCTTCAGCGGGAATGCCGCTTCTGTCCCACGACGTGCCCGACGACAAGGTCGCATGGACGTGCCCAGTGTGCGACATCCGCCAGCCTTTCTCGAAAAACACAATTACGTACAAGAAGATCCGGCGGGAGCACCGGCCGAAGGAGCACCCCGAGTACGACGACCAACAATGGCGGTGCCTAGTGCTAAGGGCGACTCTGCTGAAGAAGTCGCCCGACGGCATGCTGGATACACGAGGTCGGCGGGACAAGAGAGCCAAGAGCCAAGTAGTCCTGCCTCCACTGCCTGTCCACCAGATCCGGCCCCGAGCAGAGCGGCTGCGCCGAAAGCGGGAGGCACGGGAGAGGAAGAAAGCAGCAGGGCGCTGCTCAGGCGGAGCCAACCGCCACGACGACCAATCCCACGTCCGTCCTCCCTCCCCCTCCCCCTCCTCCCTCCTTTTCCCCTGCCTGCGGGATGTACCACGCCAGCCGGACTACAGAGGGCAGGCGCGACCAATACGCCAATAAAGATGGGAACGATCAATATCGCATCTTGGGCACAGCATGGCAAGGACCTTCTGGCGATACCGCCGAGGAGCTGGAGCTGGAGTTGCTGGTACTGCAGGAGCATGGGTGCCGGCACCCAGACATGCCCAGGGCAGGCAAGCTCGCTGCTGACCACGGGTACGTATGGACGAGTGGAACCTCCCGTGACGACCATGTGGTGGGTACCGGGAGGAGTGGTATAACACGGGACGAATGTGGTGGCCTCAGTGTGCTGACGACGGGCCGTGTCCGGGTCACCCGGATCGCGTCTGAGCGCCGGACGGGCACTGGGGGGGCTGTAGCTGGGGGTGAGGGTGCCATCTATCACATCCACACAGCGCACCGTACAGCACTGCTGGTTGTGGTACACTTGCGGGCGGCCGACGACGACGACGCACGGAATGGTATGCTACAGCGGGTGGCAGAACAGCACGCTACGATAGGAGGGGGGATCCCACTGCTGATCGCTGGTGACTACAACACTACGCCGGAATATCCCATCATTACCGAGACTTCACGGTTACTGAGGCTCCGGGTCCAGAGCCCAGGAGAGTCCACGAGGTGGGAATCGAGCTGGGAGATCGACATTTTCATGGTCACGAAAACTATGACAGCTACCAGGGCTGTGGCGAATACGCATACACTATCTGACCATAAGTTGGTGACACTGGATGTGCAGTTCGACGCACCGCAACCTAGTGCCGGATGCTCGTGGCGGCGTGCGGCACGGCACGGTACGCTGAAGACGACTCAAGACGCAGCACGAGCGGACGCACAAGGCACCGCAAACACGACCACGACGCAAAGCACGAGCAAACCAACACTTCAGCACGACCCTTAACAACATCCAACACGCGATCATGGCGTAGACGCAGCACCACGCAGCACGCCCACGACGCAGCACGAACTGACAACGCAGCACCACCGACCCATGGGGACATCGTGGAGGGCCGGGTTGCCCAGTGGAGGGCTTTACCAGCTTACGACATCCATGACGGCACCGTGGACGAGTGGTGGACGGACTGGAGTGCACGAGCAGAGGCACTACTACAATCCCAACCCGCGGTGGTCCTGACCAAGGGGGCTGTCCCTAAATCTGACTTCTCGTTTGCCCAGTGGGAGCGAAGGGAGAAAGGCGACGACGTCTGGACCCGGCACACGCGGCAACTACGGCAACTCATCCAACGGCTCCGGTCCCCGCCGGCACGGCGAGGGCGGAAAGCAGCCGGGAAGATAGCACAGTGGGAACGGCAAAATCGGAAGTTGTGGCAACAGAATATGGGCGGCGCCAAGCCGGACGACGACCAAGAAGCCATCGAACAAACTACCAAAGCGCTCGGCAAGGCCATCCAAGGGTGCAAGAATGAGCGTGTCAAATGCTGGCGGAGGAGGCTCCAGGCAGATGGTCTTGGGTAGACCACAGTAGCTTGGATCCGGAACGCAGTGAGCACCTACCACAACGTAGCGGTGCAGGACGACACCAAGAGCGACCATGACAGCGGGAACTTGCAATTACACGACGACTCCACGCCCACCAACTATTTTTCACAAGACGCTGTGGAAAGAATACGGTTCCATTACGAGCAGCACTTCACGGAATGCGGCCGTGGCAACGATGTGGACGGGTATTTCTACTACTACGACGACTACATTGAGGAGGCACGCCAAGATGTTCAACGAGCACAGGAGCAGCACGACCATAGAGCACGACACGCCATGGCAGCCCTTGGCTGCTGGGACCACTGGGCGCCGCCGGCGGCAGCACAATTTCGCCACATGCTACGCGGGGGCACAGCAGCAGGGCCAGACCAATGGGCGCCCTCGGAGCTCATGCTCCTTCCGGAGGAGGCACTGGAAGAGCTGGTTGACCTCTGCACATACTCTGAGTACCACGGATGGCCGTCGCAACTCCTGCAGTGGCGCCAGGTCCACCTACCCAAAGACCCAGACGCAGCACTCCCGAGCCTGACCCGACTACGCCCTATCGCAATCGCGAGCGCCTTGGTCAGGAAGTGTCCGGTTCGGGCCGGTTCGGGCCGGTTCGGCGGCGGACCGGTTCGGTTGCAGCGGTTCGATTTCGGCGCCGGTCCGGTTTTGGTCGGTCCGGTTTTGCCAGTCCGGGTCGGTTATGCCGGTTCGGTTCGGCGGTCGCGGGGCGGTCCGGTTTTGGGGGGGGCGGTTTTGGGCCGGAGGAGGAGAAGGAGGAGGAGGAGTGAGGAGGAGGAGGAGGAGGAGGAGGAGGACGAGGAGGACGAGGAGGAGGTTTAGGAGGTGGGCGAGGAGCGAGGTGCCAGGAGCGCGGAGCGAGGAGGCTCGCGCGCCCATCGGCTCCGCGCCCGGCGAGGTGCCTCGCTGCAGTCGTCGTCGCCGTCGTCGTCGTCGTCGTCGTCGTCGTCGTCGTCGTCGTCGTCGTCGCGTCGTCGTCGTCGTCGTCGCCGCCGTCGTCGTCGTCGTCGGGCGCCCCCGGACCTCTCGGCCCCTTCCCTCATGCCGCTTTTCCCCTCGTCTCCGCGGCCCCGGGGCCGGAAAACACGAGCCTCCGGGGGCCCGGAGAGGGCGGGGTTCGGCCGCCTGGAGCTGCTTTGCCGCCTGGAGGAGGAGGGAGGAGGAGGAGGA